AGGCAGGGAGGCGAGACCACGGCCCAGGGTGTCCAGGGCCCCATCAGTCGAGTGGATGGGTGTAGCTGGAACACAGCAGGAGCTAGATGACAGGAGGTAATGGGGGGAGAGCGGAGGAAGGTGGCCTCCTGCTTGAAGGGCCTGGAGCACCCTGTTCCTGGGGGCAGCGAGGCATTCCAGAAGAGCTGTAAGCAGGGAGTGACAGGAGCGGATTTCCCGTGGTCTCATGGAGATGGAATTCAATTCCAGGCTTCTGGTACCATGAAGGAAACCCTGGTGGCTTAGTGGTTAAGAGATCGGCTACTAACCAAAAGGTCAGCAGTTTGTATCCACCAGGCGCTCTGTGGGGGAGTTCTACTCTGTCCTGTAGGGTTGCTATGCATTGGAATAGACTTGACGGCAATGGGTTTGGTTTTTTGGGTTTGGTACCATGAAGACAAAGCAATCTGTGAATTTGAAAATGAAATAGATTTCATCATGCCACACGTGGAAATTCAGTGGCATTCCTACACTTGCTGGCCTCTGTGTAAAAGGCTCAGACAAATCCAGCTGTCTGCTCTTGGTCAGGGTCAAACTGTTGTCAGAATAATTTCCTTGGGTCTCTCACTCCCACTGCAAGTTATTGTGGCCTGAGATCTCCTCCAGAGAAACTGCCGTTTGAGGACTGTGCACAGTGGGGTTTCAGACGGCGTCCATGCTAAAAAAACGTAGGCTTTCAGAACTCTCAGGTGAGCATGAAATGTTAGAAAGAGAAATGACTCAATTGTGAAACCTTAATTTAGCCTTGCTGTGACCCAGGATAGCTGTGACTTCATCATACCCTAAGTCTCTGTGGGCCTTCATTCTCTCCTGACAGTGAGGGGTCCACATTGGTGGTCCAGTCCTTTCTGGGCCCTGGACTTGTCTGAAAATCTGATGAAAACCCCAAATGCTCAGCTGTTGTGGAGGGTGGCGGGGGGAGGAGAGCATACAGAATTGACAACACAGAGATGTACATGGGATTTCAGGGTGATGTAATGTGTCACGGACCCTGTCAACCAGATCGTCCCTCCTAAGCCCCTCATAAAGCCCTAGGAATTTCTGGAGCAGTCACTGTTGACTGGTTTTAGGGTGGAAGAAATATACAGAGCTGGTGTTCCTGTGGCTGCTCAGAGATACCAGTGTGAGTGGCTGTTTTGGCCCAGAGTCCTCGTCAGTGATTTAGGATGAGTGGGACTTGGAGTTTCCTTTTCACCCCCCACCCCCGTCTGCCCCCCCGTCAAGGAGCACAGGCAAGAACCATTTTCTGTCAGGATGCAGGGAGAGAAATAAGATATTGGGAGTCCCTCCAGAACTCAGGGGCTTCCTGGGCTGGACGCTGATCAACTGGACATGTGGGCTATGCCATCAACCCTCCTGATGTTTTCCATTAGCAAAACCTTTAGGCCTTCAAGGAGCCCTGGTGGTGCAGTGGTTAAAGTGCTTGGCTGCCAACCAAAAGGTTGGCGGTTTGAACCCACCAGCTGCTCCCCGGGAGAAAGGTATAGCAGTCTGCTTCCATACAGATGTACAGCCTTGGAAGCCCTGTGGGGCAGTTCTACTCTTTCCTACAGGGTCACTGTGAGTTGACTCAATGACAGTGGATTTTCAGATCTTTGAGATTCCCCCACCACCAGCCAGATAATTGTATGGTTAGGCTGCCCCCTGCTGAAGCCCCACAGAAACTGTTCTCCTTTGCTTCTGGTTCTTTTGGCCTGCCTCCCAAGTTTGCAATAAAAACATCGTGTTGAAGGAAAGGAATGTATGTCTGGTCCTTGTCTGCCGGGGCTTAAAACCCCACAGTGGTTTTCACTGCCCTTGGCACTAAAGCTAAACGTAACCCGCTGCCGTCTAGTGAGTTCCGACTCATAGCGACCCTACAGGACAGAGTAGAACCTCCCATAGTGTTTCCAAGGAGCGGCTGGTGGATTCGAACTGCCCACCTTTTGGTTAGCAGCCAGACGCTCAACACCAGGGCTCCAGGAGTAAATTTAGTTCCTTAATTCCACCTCAAGGCCCTGGCTGATGTGGCTTCTCAATCTCCATCATGTTCCCCCTTGCTCTCTGTAAGCTGCCTCCTGGAGGCTTTTACTGAGCTCTGTCTGGAAGGGCATCCTTCTCCGCGCGTGGCCCGGCTGACTCTCAGCCTTCTCGGGGAGTATGTCCGCAGTCCCCGGCTGGGATAGCTATTTTCTTACAGCCCATAGCCCTTCCCTGGGTGCCACATTCACTTTATTCCAGTTCCCTGTTCAAGTGGCCACCTCCCTCCGTCATGACCCCCACCCACCCCGTGGGCACAGTCACGGGTCCTGTGTGATGTACAGCTCTGCCCCTCCCCCCAGCACCATGCTAGGCGCCCAGGAGGGGTGTGGCAAATATCCATCAAATAAAACCTAAGGAAAGAACGTGGAGCAGGGGTCCAGAGAAGTGGGCTGGAGCAGGGCTTCTAACCGGTTTGTTCCAGCAGAAGCCCTGCTGAGAATATGCATTTCTAACAAGTTCCCTGCTGAAAATTTGCACTTCCAACTTAGATGTACTGAATCAGAATCTACGTTTTGACAAGATCCCCAGGTGATTCTTGTGTATAACTTCCTGGGGAAAAAAAACAAAAACCAAACCCACTGCCATCGAGTCGAGTCCGACTCATAGCAACCCTATAGGACCGAGTGGAACTGCCCCATAGGGTTTCTAAGGAGTGGCTGGTGAATTCGAACTGCCAACCTTTTGGTTAGCAGTCTGAGCGCCTAACCACTGCATCACCAGGGCTCCAACTTGTTAGAAATGCAAATTCTCAGCAGGGGTTTGAGCTGGAAGGAACCATCAAAGCCCTGGGCTGCAGCATTTAGAAAGGAACTTATAAAAAAAAATGATTTCATTTTTTTGTCGTTTTTCTTGGGAATATACACAGCAAAATGTACACCAATTCAACCATTTCTACATGTACAGGTGAGTGACATCATTGTATTCTTCCAGTTGTGCAGACATTCTCACCCTCCTTTTCCATTGTTCTCCCCATTACCGTAAACTCTCTGCCCACTAAGGTCCCTGTGTATCCTTCGAGTTGCTGTTGTCAGTTTGATCCTATCTAGATAGATCTTAAAAGAGCATAATGCTCAAGGCAGGCATTCTTTACTAGTTAAGCTTAAATTATTGTTTGGCTTTAAGACGACTTCAGGGGATATTTCTGGCTTAAGGTTTAAAGATTATCTCAGGGCATTAGTTTCCGGGATAGGAAGGCACTTTGTAAATGGTCAGGTGCTCGGTTGTGGTTTTAAATTGGCATGTGCTTCACATGCCACCTCTGTGACCTGGGATGAGTCCTACCCCACCTGTGTCACAAGTCTGTGTATGGGATGAAGGAGGTGATAACAGAAGCCACATGGAGGAGACCTGGTGAAGACCCCACGCCCCCCCTTCCTCAGCCAGGAGCCTGGCCTCTTTAAAAGTCTGATCCCACAGTCGATTCTCTCTGCTGCTCAGCCCACCTTGTCGCACTGGGAAACCCAGCCTGATTAGCCCTGCACTTAGCCGGTCCTGCTGAGGGACGCCCTGGCCAGCGGAGTGCTGGCCTTGATTCAGCAGAGCAGCAGAAATCCTTGCTGAGCGCAGGTCTGTCTGCCGCCAGCTGGGGGTGTTTAAAGGGGCTTCTCCCCACGGTCACAGCTGGCCTGTTTTCTCCTTGCCTGCAGCCATCACTGCCTCTGTGCACCTGTGCTGCTCCCAGCCCCACGCCGCACCTGAGCTCCATGGCCACCTGGAGATTTCTGGGTGTCTACCCCACAGGACACGGAAGGATAGGTTCTCCTGCTGGGCTCCGGGGGCTGCTGCAGATCCTGGGGCCTGAGAGCGGAGGAGGAGCCGCTCGGGTGAGAATTGTCCTTGGTTGACCAGAAAATCCTGAACTGTTGAGCAAACATCCCCCTCTTCCCTGTGCTTTGTGGCTGCTGTTAAAGCGGGTTGTGTGCCAGGGAAGGAGCCCTGATGGCGCAGTGGTTAAGTGCTCAGCTGCTAACTGAAAGGTCGGTGGTTCGAACCCACCAGCTGCTCCACAGGAGAAAGATGTGGCAGTCTGCTTCGGTCAAGATTTATAGCCTTGGAAACTCTAAGGGCAGTTTTTCTCTGTCCTGTATACAGGGTTGCTTGCTATGAGTCAGAATCCACTCAGCGGTAACAGGTTTGGTTTTTCGTTTTTTTTGAGGGAAGTATGCCAGGGAGCAGAGTAAGGCCTGGCTTTGTGTGTCTTTTGTTGTGTTGGAGCTTTCTGGAGGGTTGGGGGTAGGTGATGGGATTGGAGGAGAAGCTAAGAGCCAGATCTGAGGATAAGCAGGACCTCGGGGTCTGGTGGTGGGGACAGGGGTAGCCGCTTGGGTGGGCTGCCCTTTAGGGTTTGAGTTGAGATTCAGATTCCAGGTAAGCGCCTGTGTCCTAGCTGGAGTCCCAGGGGCAGCGGGGAGCCCCTCGCTTGGAGGGTGGTCCTACCATGTTTGTATCTATTAGGGAGGGGGCAGTTACTGGAAGTGAAAACGGATTCTAAGCAGGCAGAGAAAATAGGTGGCTGTGGTGGTCTCAGCTGGCGATCCTAGTAAAACCTATCGTGCCCCCTCCATACTAGGTGAATCCGAGAGGTGCTCAGATGGCCCCCCACCCCTGCCCCTTTCAAGAAAGCAGGTTTGGGGCTGCATTTCCTCCTTGTTCTGGGAGTGAGGCTGGACGTCTTCTGCCTAACTGTCGTTTAAAACCATCTGGAAGTCCATCTGCAGACCCACCCCCTGCCGTACAGCACGCAGCCTGCAGTGGAGGCCCAGTCTGGGCCGTGCGTCCACGGTGAGGGCCGCAGTGCGCCCCTCCAGTTCCAGGGCTGCCCGGAACAAGCGTCCCAGTTCTGCAGAAACCAGGCGGCTTCACGCCTCCCCGTCAGAGAACTGGAGCACAGCTCGGCCTCCCTCACCTCTGTCCTCTAACCGGGATGGTTTCTCTTGCAGCAGAAAAGAACACCTCTGGAATGCTAAGCCGCCCTTCTCCAGGGAGGATGGAGTGGATCATCCCTCTGACTGTGGTATCAGCCTTGACCTTCGTGTGCCTCATCCTTCTCATCGCTGTGCTAGTTTACTGGAGGTGAGTCTGCCGGGCCGCACCCCCACGGCGGACGGGTGGGGGCACTGGCCGGGTCTGCCGGGAGCTCGCTGCCCTGGGAGCAGGGCCCACCAGCGGGCGGGAAGCCTGTGTCCTCTTGATTCAGAAGGGCGAGCAGCTTGACTGTTCTAGTGTCACCCCTGGGAGGCCCTCTGTCTGGAAGAAGACAGTGGGAGAAATCACTTTTGAGGTCAGGCTCTTACGGTGAGCTTCTGGGATTCAGCGCCAAAGAGGCTTTTGCTCGGGAGTCAGGGAGACCCAGGTTCAAATCCCATCTCTGCTACTTGCTTCATTCCAACCCCATTTCCACTTTGAACTGCAGCCCCTAAACCTGCAAAATGAGTTAGTAAATTTCATAGTGTTTCCAGTTTCTCTGAGACCCTGCTCCACTTTGCTGCTGAGGCCCTGCTCCACATGATGAACTCCTCTTTACCTTAAAAAAAAAAATATTTTGCATAGCCTTTTCATGAAAACTAAGTTGGGTGCTGGGAAAACATTTCACAGATTAGGTGGCATTTAATAAATGTTAGGTGAAATGGCATGTTGTAAGTCATCCTTATACTGGCAGCATTTCGAGCTGGTTCTCAGGCCCTCCTATGGGAAGCCAGCCAGCAGCCTGTTTAGAAATTCTGAGGGTTTTTTTTGGGGGTGGGTGGGCAGGGGGCTGCACCATCTCCGCTGGAGCAACTGAGGGAGACAGGCTGGCCCAGTCCATCGGCCTGGCTGCCTTCAACTCCCAGATGAAGGCCAGGAGGCTTCAGCCCTTTTTCTGATGAACTCCACCAGTGATAAACAGGTGTCCTGTTTTCCATTCATTTAGTCAGGTCCAGCCCCTCTGCGTGAGATACCCTTCTAGGCACTGGGGATACCACAATGAGCAAAACAGACAAAAATCCCTGCTCTCATGGAGCTTACGTGCTAGTGTTAGTAAGACATAAAATATGTAAGATGGCGGTAAGTAAGTGTACAGTGGAGAAGACTGAATCCTGAAAGGTGAGGGGCCTTCTGGGGGCTGGGTGTGAGCATTCAGTTTGAAACGGAGTGGTCAGCAGTGGCCTCCCTGGGACGTGATATCTGAGCGAAGACCTACAGGAAGAGGGAGCCAAGTGGGCTCCATCTGGGGTGAGTTCCAGGCAAAAAAAGGAGCACATGCCAAGGCCCGGAGGCAGGGGCAGAGGCCAGGAGGCAGAGGTGGGGGTGCAGGGGCCCAGGGGCAGGGGTGGGCCGAGCTTGTTCCAGGAATAGCCAGCAGGTCAGTGTGTCTGGAGCATGGAAGGGGGAGAGGGTGTCATGAGGAAGTGAGGTAGAGAGGAATTGGGTCAGTCTTACGGGTCATTGTAAACATTTTGTCTTTTACTCTAGGTAGGCTTTGGGGCAGAGGAGTGTTATGATTTGACTTCAGCTTTAACAGAATCACTTGGGTGCTGCGTTGAAAATAGACTGAAGAGGGACAGAGGCAGAAATACCAGCTGGGAGACACCAAACTAGCCCAAGAAGGAGGTGATAATAAGGGCAGGGGCAGCACAGGTGGTGGGAATCACTGGGTGCAGTTAGTTGTCTTGAAGGTAGAATGGACAGAATTTGCTGACAGATTGGCTGTGTGTCTTTGGGTCTGTGCTCAGTTGGCTGAAACAAGTGAGTAGGGCAGGGCTGGCCTCAGGCATCCCAGGGCATCTAGTGGTGACAGCAGCACTGTCTGTGCTCCGGACTAGCTAGGCTAGGCAGCAGTGGTGTTTCCAGGTGAGCCTAGAACCCTAGACTCACCGCCATGCCATTTCTTCTCCAGGAAAAAGTGATCTGCAAGACAATATTTTTCTGGAGCCCATGGGTAACTTGGAGGCTGCCTAAACTTGGGTTGAACTGAGCATGCAGAAGTAATGGAAGGTCTGCATGTCCATCTATTACACCTCTTGACTTGGTTCTGTGTGGTTTTAGTCCCAGGCTATCCCATAGGGAGGAGCCCTGCTGGCACAGTGGTTAAGAGCTTGGCTGCTAACCAAGAAGTTAGCAGTTCAAATCCACCAGCTGCTCCTTGGAAACCGTATGGGGCAGTTCTGCTCTGTCCTGTAGAGTTGCTATGAGTCAGAACTGACTTGATGGCAGCAGGTTTTGGTATCCCATATGGAAGGAGAGGGAGCCCACAGTTGCCCCGGGCTTTGGGATTTTAGCTTACTTAGCAACTCCCACATAAAGAACTGCCTTGTTCCAAATAGTTTCAGAAACACTGGTTGGCCCACCCGGGTCCCTCTACTCACACCTGAATGGATAACTGTGGCCAAGAAGAACCGTGGGCCATGTGGCCATGGAGGCATGAATGCCAGGCGGGCCACAACACTGTTTACTGCAAGCTTCACTGCAAGGGCTGTATAAATACAGTAACCCAGTGTTACCCATTGCCGTCGAGTTGATTCTGACTCATAGCGACCCTACAGGTCAGCGTAGAACTAGCCCCACAGGGTTTCCAAGGAGCACGTGGTGGATTCCAACTGTCAACCTTTTGGTTAGCAGCCGAGCTCTTACCCACTATGCCACCAGGGCTCTAGTAAACATAGTAAAGGCAGCCTTAAAATCTGTCTATTCAAGATGTATATTCCATTTGGGAAATGACAGCTATTTATGCTGTGAATATTCAATGAGTCCTAATGGAAAGTATGTGTTGATAATATATTAATATTTCACGTCAAAAACATATATTTATGTTGTTGGTGTTAGTTGCCGTTGAGTCGATTCTGACTCGTGGCCGCCCCGCGTGTGCAGAGTAGAACTGTGCTCCACAGGGTTTTCAAGGCTGTGACTTTCTGAAGCAGCTCACCGGGTCTGTCTTCTGAGGCGCATCTGGGTGGGCTCAAACCACCAACCTTTTGGCTAGTAGTCGAGCGCTTAACCGTTCGTGCCACCCAGGGACTGAATATATTTACCATGTTGCATATATTCAGAGGCTTGGTTTAAAGTTACCAGGGCTTTAAACTTCATCTGTAGACTCTGGATATGCGCTTTTGGCCAAACTCCTAACGCCAGCAACACAAGAATGAGTGTGGAAGAGAACATTCTTACAGAGCAGGGAAAGGAACGTGGAATTAGCATTAGGACGGATGAGCTGGTGAAGCATAGGAACAGCCTAGAGGGGTCAAGGACCTTTTTTCTGTCCCCTTTTTTTGTTCTTATGAGTGTGAAAGAAGGACGCGTTGGGGAGCTCAGACAGAAATCTGATAAATGTAGACGAGACGTGCAGTTCCTTACGCGATGCCGTTTGGAAGCTGAAACAACAGCACTTCCCTTCCGCCTTTGGAGGCGCAGTGAGAGGGGATGCTTGGCACGCAGACTTGACATAAGTAGAGCGCTGATGCAGATGGAAACCTTCTGGATTATTTCCTCCAGTGGCAGGCCTGACACCGGGGCTTCAAACCAGCTCGCTGGGGTGGCAGTGTCTCCCATCACCGATCGTCCTGGTTTCTGGGTGTGTTCACTTGGAATTGTTGGCACTGCAATTTAATGAGTTTGTGAAATAGCAGAAAATTAAACCCGAGATGTCCGAGTTCTGTTTCTAACTGCAGACTCCCATTGTAAGATAATGTTACCACGAATGGTGAAGAAGTGCCTCGTTCCAGGTCCAAAACCAAACCAAACCCCGTTGCCGTCAAGTCGATTCTGATTCCTAGCAACCCTATAAGACAGAGTAGAACTGCCCCATAGTGTTTCCAAGGAGCAGCTGGTGGATTCATACTGCCAGCCTTTTGGTTAGCAGCCGAGCTCTTAACCACTGCACCACCAGGGCTCCTGTTCTAAGTAGTTCCAGCAAAAATCTTAGGACTGTTTCTGATTGCCCTACCTGGGTCCCTCTCCCTGCCTCTGAACCAATAAGAGTTGTTCAACGAGTCATTTTTGTGTGGTGGACACCATGTGAGGACTTGGGTGGCACCATCTCGTGTGACTCTTACAACAGGTCTGTGTGGCAGGTTCTCTTGTTATCCCCCCCGTAAAAAGAAAGGACCAGAAGATCATGGAAGTCCAGGGACGGGTCCAGGGTCCTACAGTAAGTGGCAGAGCCTGGTTTTGAACACAGATGTCCTCTCTCTAGAAGCCACAAGCTTATTCAGCCACCTACCTACTGTGCAGGCCGAGCATGACTGACGTTCAGCTAAGTCAGACAGAGCTTGGCGTTCCTCGGTCCTTGGGCCTCGCTGTTAGGCTCACCTCTTTCTTAGGCCGGAGAGGAAATGGGGAGCTAACATTTGTTGAAAGCCTACTGCGGACCAAGGAATGAGCAATGTACTTATCTGCTGTGTTGGTCAGAACCCTTTTCTGTTGCACTTGACCAAAAAAAAATTTCAGACTGCCTTCAGCGCAATAAAAAAGTTTGTTGATTCATAGAATTAAGAAATGGAAGCACTCCAGACCTGGATGGATTTAGGGGATGGAAGCAGGACATCCGGGCTCAGCTTGTTTTGTCTGTTTCTCTCTCTCTCAGGCTCTGGAATCTGTGCTGTCTTCTGTGCATTCTCTCTTGGGCAGACCTCTCTCCACATGGTGACCTCTGGCCCATGTTAGACTTCCACCTCATCACCCCAGTGGAAAGAGAATTTCTCTTCTCTAACATTCCAGGAAAGTCCCAAGATGGTGTCTCGTAGGACGAACTTAGGCCATCTGTGCCCCAGTGTCCTCTGTGCCCAGAAAGAAGAACTACCCTTGTCAGGCCTGGGTCTGACGCTTAAGTCTGGAGCCCAGAAGTGGAGTCCGTGTCACTGAAACCACACGGGCTAAAGCTGGACAAGGAGGGGTTTCCCAAAGGACCATCAAGGCCCAGATTCCAGATAGGTAGAAGCGACCAGTGTCGTCATAGCAACCTTACGTATCACAGAGTTAAGTGTTGTCTGGTCCTGCCTCATCTCTATGCCCCTTGATGTGTTTGCGCCCATCGCTCACCTTTACAGTGGGGACAGCGTGAGGATTAAGCCCAAGTCCTTGGATGGTACCAACAGTTA